AAGAGAGAAAGAGAGAGGCTTGGGTTCAGTTTAAGGACATCTAATCAAATAGGCCACACTACTGGACAATGAGCCAGGTCCTTCTAAAGTGTAAGAGCAGATGCCCTTAGGCAGGCTAGGGGGCAATCCCAGCAGAAGCCCTATGGGACAGTGGGTGCCCATGAAGCTTCCTGGGCCCTGTGGTGCTGGGTCAGGCAGGGTCACTGCACTTCCCCATGACCTTGTACACCCAAGAACACAGAGCTCTTGGAATCAGAAAGAATTGTGTAAACAATGTGTCGTAAGGACAGCCCACCCTTGGCTGAGACCTGGCCCCAGCTGGCCACTTGGAACCATGAAACCCAGTGCTTCTTTTCCTAAAATTGAAAACACTCTTACAGTGGCCTGAGATCCTTCCCTGGGAGAAGAGACAACTAACCTGCTAGACATGGGCCTCAAGGTGGTGACCGTGTAGTGCCATAGCTGCTATTTCTCTCCTTCCCCTGTCCCCTCTCCTTCCAGTGTGAAAGTCTGTGTATGTACATGTTTGTGGTACATGTGTATGTGAGGACACGTGTACATGTGCATTTGGAGGCCAAAGGTCTATGTTGGTTACCTTCCTTAATCACTCGCCACCCTATTTTTTGAGACAGGGTCCTTTGCTGACCTTTGCTTTTCAGTTCAGCTAGACTGGGCTGGCTAGCAAGCCCCAGGAATCCTCCAGTCTCTGCTCCTCAGTACTACCACACCAAGCAATTTTTTTTGAGACAGGGTCTCCTTATAGTCCCAATTGGCCTGGAACTCCCTATGTAGACCAGGATGGCCTTGATTTCACAGAGATCCACTTACCTCTGCTTCCCAAGTGCTGAGATTAAAGACATGTGCCACCACACCTGGCCACACCAGGCTTTTATGTGAGTGCTGGGGAGCTGAACTCAGGCCCTCATGCTCACATAGCAAGCACTTTACTGTCTGAGCATCTCCCCAGTCCTTAATGTGAAATTCTTATAGCGTAACCCTTTCAGACATACTACACAGTGGCATTTAACACATGCACAGTGTGCAGCTGGTACCTCCAGGTAGTTCCAGAGCATCTCCATCCTCAAAGGTGACCCCACACCCATCATCAGTCATTCCCATGTCCCTTTGCCATAGCTCCTGCCAAGCACAGACCTACTCTTCATTCTGTGAACTTAATATTCTTCATATTTCCTGTAAACAAGATCATACAATATGTGGCCTTTTGTGTCTGGCTTCTGTCACAGAGCATGATGTTTTCAGGGTTGGTCCATGTAGCACGGATCAGAACTCCATTCCTTTTTATGGCTGAATAATACTCTATCATATGGGTCGAGCACATTTTGTTTATTCAGTCATCGAGTGAGCCAGGCATCTTTTTAAAGCCAACTGTTAAGAGTTCCTCCTTTTCCATAGCAGCTTCCTAGAGTTGTCCTTGAGCAACACCAGGTCAGGAGAGAGCCCAACCTCTGGGCTACCTAAATCATTTACCAGATGAAGCCCACTGCCAAACCAAACTGAGCCATGCCCTTATCTTTCCATATAGCCACCCCGTGATTTCAGATAGTTGAGGGGGTCTTTCTCCTGCCATACTTTATCTCTGCAAAGTCCCAGGGAGCCTCAGTTACCAGATGGGATGTGAGAGTGTGGTACTGTGCTTTTTGCTCTTAAAAGATGAAGAGTGACTTCACTTCCTCTCAGTTTCTGTCTCAGGAAGTAAGTGTGGCCATTAAGACACGGTGTAATCTTGGACAAGTCTCTGCCCCCTTTGAGCATTGCAGGTTGGGCCCTGAGCCTCCTAGCTCAGCCTCTCATCAGCTGTACGTCCTGAGGAAGTCACGTAACTTCTCTGAGCATCTGAGAAGTAAAAAATGCCATTCTAGTGCTGGATTGATGGCTCAGAGGTTAAGAGTTCTTAACCTCTGTTCTTCTAGAGAACCCAAGTTCCATTTCCAGCACCTGAGACACATAGCTCACAACCACCTGTACAGGCAAGCCAATGTTCTCTTATGGCCTCTGTGGGCACACATACACATGTGGCATTTACATAACACACATACACACACATAAATACGCTGTTTAAAATACCATTCTAGGTACTGGGGAGAGGGCTCAGTCAGTAAAGTGCTTGCCATACAAGTGTCAAGACCTAAGTTCAGATCCTCAGCACCCACATAAAAGTCTAGCATGGTGGTACAAATATCTTTTAACCTCCATGCTGGGTGGGAGGGGAAGAGACATTTGGATCCCTGGAACTCAGTGGCCAGCCAGTCTAGCAGAATCAGTGAGCACCAGATTCAGCAAGAGTGTGTCTCCAAAAAGGTAGAAAAATACTGAGAAAGGCCTTCACACAGACACAGACACACACACACACACACACACACAAACAAACAGTTCTGAGAGGGGTTTGGTGATGGAGATAGGCATATAAAGTTCCTGTATTACTGTGATTTTCAAGTGAAACCAATAAGAGGCAGAATACATGTCCAGGCTGGCTCCAGGTGACAGACAGGCTACACAATTGCTCTTTATAAGCTTGAAAATAATCTCCTAGCTCCAGCCCCTGATCTTGCTCTCTGTGCTCCAGGACGTGCTGAGCTAGCTGGTCAGTGTTCTTCGTGGGTTTCCTCCCTCTCAGCACTTGGGTTTTTGCCTTCTATCACACTGACGAATGACTCACCATTTCTCCATCTGCTCTCTGTCCTCACAGCTTCAGGGAAGACACCTCATAGCTGTATCCAAGAGAGAGTTTGCATTTCTCTGTATTTTCTCTGCTGCTTTGGAGTGATTATCTAGGGGAGGCAGTTGATTTCCAGTTAATTTTTATGAATTTTTAAATAAGCTGAAGCATGTATCAGTATATTCTAGGTATAAGACCCAGTAGAAATGGCTTGGACGATACTGAGCACACACACCTGGTTTATGTACTTATCCTGAATAATGTGTATCAAAACACTTATCCTAGTTTATTGACTTCATAGAAACCTTTTTATTCTTTAAGAAGTATATCTTTTGTGCATGTGTGCATGTGTACATGTGTGTTGGGGGTGCAACCTTGGCTGTCTTTCCTTAGAAGCTGTCCACTTTGTTTTTTGAGACTGGGTTTCTCACCGACCTGGGGCTTGCCAATTCGGCAAGGCTGGGTTTCTCACCGACCTGGGGCTTGCCAATTCGGCAAGGCTGGGTTTCTCACCGACCTGGGGCTTGCCAATTCGGCAAGGCTGGCTCTGCAGTGAACCTTAGGGCTCTGCTTGTCTCCACCTTCCCAGCCCTGGGATCACAAACGCACACCACTGTGCCTGGCTTTTTTTCTTGGGTTCTGAGACTTGAACTCGGGTCCTCACTTTACCAACTGAGCTGTTCCCTTATCTGCTATTACTATTTTTCATTTCAAAAGACAAAACCCAGTTTTGGTGTTGTCATCTCTGAGAACAGTGCAGTGTTGGTATCTGTCCAATAGTAACCACTGAGTCATGCCATGAGAGTAAACCAGTAACCAAAGTCAGAGATGGGCCATCCTTTTTGGCTTGCTGACTTATAGAAGAATTGAATTCACTGCTGCTTCCTTAAAGTGTTTTTAATAAATCAAAGCATTTTAAAATGAAATTTAAGGATGATTAGTAAGGAAAACAAGACTAGGAGCACTAAGTCATAAAACAGGTCTGAGTTGAAGAATATTTTATGAATTTACTAGGGAATTTGTTTATCTGAAATTACTATGATTTAATACACATCTGTCAGGCTATCAAGAGCCAGATGACTCCTGCGGTTCCATTTATTTCGTTCAAAGAGACTATGTTCACACATGTGAAATGTTAGCCGGCACAATACAAGAGGACACATTTAGGTCCCAGTTGGGGATTTTTGAATGGTAGCTTGAAGGACTGCTGAGCGAGCAGGCACAGGCTTGGAAGGATCCATGCCTTGCAGCAAGTCTGCCCTGGGGCTCTAGGCAGGAAGGGGCATGATGAAGTTTTGGGGACAGGATGGTGGTTGGAGGTTGGCAGAACTAGAACTTGCCATCCAGTTCAGAGGTATGACTCAGCTGAGAGGGACTAAGGGTTTGAACCAGAAAGGTGGCAGTGGGAATGGAGAGAGAAAGGGACCAAACCTGGCAGGACTTGGGAATGGATGGAGAGGGTGGGCAGGGAGAGTGTGGGCCACAGGGAGAAGGAGAGTGAGAATTCCCAGAGATCTGGTATAGCAAGGGGACAGTGATATCCTTTGCAGTTCTGGGACTAATGCTTATGAGACACATCTAAGCTAGAGATGGAGTCAGGAGCTCCAGAACACCAAAGGTGGATGGAGCCAAGGATGTGGGGAACTGAAGAGTGGAAACTGAGCACTAGGAGACAATTTGGCATGAGCAGAGGACCCAGAAACCTACAAATGTGATGGAGAAGATGTGAGTGGGGAGATGGAGATGGGAGGAAAACAGGGTGGGGTTCCTGGAAACAAGGAGGAGTGCTTTTCCAGCAGGGCAGTTAGTAGCACCACACAATTGCAACAGGGTGCTCTCCACTGGCTTTGGCATCAGGAGCTCATTGGTAACCCCAGAAATGGTTTATTGCTGCAGCAGCAACAGGAGCTGAAGTCAGGTTGTAGCAGGTTTGCTAAAGACACTGCCTTTGTTCAAGACCTTTGTCTGGGAGGATGGGGCAGGCAGGGAATTGCTTAAGGGACATGTGTAGCCCTTGAGGGATTTTTCAAGGAGATTTGAAAACGTTCCTATCCTTGGAGAACGTTCTGGAGCTAACCCTTGCTCAAAAGCAGATGTGGAGGCTTAGACCTGGTGAAGACCCAACAGGCTTCTACCTCTCTCCATACCCCTCCTTCATTGAAGAAGACTCACCTCCATGCCTATACACCCACGTTCTAGAATAGGGACAAGAGGAGAATGAGCAAAGCCAAGTCTGTTTAAGGTCACAACCCCAAAATTATACATGGTGCTTCTCCTCATTAGCCATTGGCCATAACATAGTCACATGGCCCCTCTTGAGCACAAAAAAAATGCTGGGAAATGTAGTCTTTAGCTATGTGGCCATGCTGGAGATTTTAATGCAGTGCAAAGAGATATGGAGTCAGTTGTCAGCTTTCATCATGATGCAGTGACTAGGAAACAGGAGAGAGTCTGCAAATTTGTAAGTGGTTTTGTCATGACAAGAGTGACAAGAGATAATGCTGGAGAGGAATACAGGGTCTTGTGTATCATTCATTCTCATTGGAGTGTGTTCCATATGTGCTTTGAGTGCTGAAAGGTTTTGAGTGAGGCCTGGCACACAGTAGAGGGGCTGAACTGAGAACAGAGGGTACACAGAAGGTGTGACTAACACAGGACTGGAGCTGGGCGTTTGCAGTGGGATGGGGAGGGTGCACGGGGAATGATGAAGACCTTTTCCTGTTACTGAGCATGGAAACTGAGCTCCAGATCTGAGCTCTAGAATCTTCTTTGCTAGGGGAAGCTCTGGAGAAGAGTAACCACTCTTTTTTTAACTTCTTACTTTTAGACTGTTCTACGGATTGTGGTGCTGGGAATCTGGGATTACATTGAAAACAAAATAGAGGTATGACCAGTGCCTACCTCCAGACCCCAACTGACACACCGCGAGGCTAGAAACTGTCACCACTACGTCCTCCTTCTCCTCCTCCCCACATGCGCTCAGCCACAGGGGGTGCCACCTAGGTGGGTGGGGAGGAGGTACAGGGAGAAGGGTGCTAACCCAGGCAGTTTCCAACAAAAGGATTTTCTTTAAAAGTTTCCTTGGAATTCACAAAAATGTATAAGGTTATAATTTAATCAATTTGAAAAACTTTTAAAACATTGTAAACCAAATAAATCTACTCTAAAATGAGGGGGCAGTTCTGAGCAAAGAAGTTGTAACCTGCTTCTCAGCCTGTGGTTTCCACTCTCAAGAAAAAGGGTCTGGGTGAGGAGTGGAGGCAGCCCCACAGTGCAGGAGGCTCAGTGATTTGTGCAAAAGGTCAAGGCCAGGTTAGGGTTAGGTGTCCAGTGTCAGCTGCCCTCTCCTTCCCTTCTCTCTGTCTGCATTTCAGAGCATGATGCTGGTAGCTGACCTAGAGGGCCTGGACTCTGAAAGGCTCAGACAAGGCCTGACTGGGGCAGACAGATAGTCAGGGCCCAAGGCTTAATTGTATGAACCAGGCCCCATCCTTTCCTTGTCCTGCTCTTCCTGCAGTTTTAGGGACTCTACTTATTAGAGGTGACATGGCCCTGGATTCCTGCCACCCATGGGGAAAGAGGCCCCATTAGCCATCAGCTCCAATCCTGAGTCAGGTTAGCCTCTAGCCCGGGTCCAGGACATGGGATATAAGCCCAAGGCTGCCTTGACTAAGAGTTGGAGGTGGGCTGAGATCACCAGAACAGTGCTGTGCTCAGGAGCATGCCCAGGAGGGAGGAGGATCCTCAGAGAGTGTCATGGCAGGCAGATAGAGATGAGTGACCTTCTGGTGGAAGCAGGCTACCTAGAGAAGGTAGCTGGTACCAGCAGCCTGCATGGCTGCTGTCCAGCCTCACACACAGTCTGGCCAGAACACTGAAGTATACCTCCTCTCCCAGGTGTTTGATGGAGCTGTGATTATCTTGTCCTTGGCCCCCATGGTGGCATCCACTGTGGCCAATGGACCCAGGAGCCCCTGGGATGCCATTAGCCTCATCATCATGCTCCGGATCTGGAGAGTAAAGAGGGTCATCGATGGTGAGTAGCCTCAGTGAGGTGGCAGAAACTGTACCTGTTCACTGAGACAGGGATATGGAATGGTCTGGGCAGTGTGAGGTGGAGGATGTGACACACAGCACGGAGAAAGCCAAACCTGGCCTGCCCATTGAACATTGTGCTCAGGACCCACTCGCAGTGCTCCTGTGTCACATCCACACACATGAGTACCCCACTGCCCATTTAGAGGTCATACATTCATTCCCATACACCTGTTTATTGTGTCTGAGAGCTTGTCCTGCTATTCAAGAAAAAGCAGCTTTTGCAACCCAGCCGTGTTCATGCATACCTGCTACAGTCCCCCAATGTCACATGACTCACCACTGGCTCTCTTGAGGTCATCTGACCAAGGCCTAGTTCACTTTGTTTGACTTTGTGTTATCAAAAACAAGCTGGACAACCCCGAGACTCTCAGCTTGCAAATTCTTCGCAGGAGAGCTTGCTTTGCTTGGTTGGCCCACGCTTCACAGGTCTGCACACACTCCTGTGTCCAGGTGGTCTCCATCCCAGGAAGTCTGATCTGCTCCTGTCATTGCCTTTACTGTCATCAGAGGTGGAGACTGCCCTCATTCAGCTCCTCAAGCCTGGAAACTTGTGCCCACATCTGTGTGGCACATCTATTTCCAGAAGATGGCGACAAACCACAGAGGGAAGGGACTAGAAATCTCTACCCTAAAGAACAGTGTCACATGAGTGGGACAATGAAGAGGATGATGGCACAGGGAGGCACACTGGCATCATTTCAGGGAGATGAAGGAAGACTCAAGTCGCTGGGCTCCCAAGAGTGGTCCTCAGACACAGAGAACACAGCAAGGAGGCCCACCACCTAGAGCTACCCAGATGAGTTGCCTACCTCGCCAAGAGAGGCCTCACTCTCCTACAGGAGGTGCCACTGTGACTCCCAAGGACCTCTATGCCCTCTTCTTATCCCAAGAGGCACCTTGAAGGATCTATCAGAATGTGGTTTAGAACCACTGTGATAGATGCTAAGGTTCCTTTCTAGCCCTGAGTTTTGGCCACAAATGATACAGTACTTTAACAGCATTGTCCTGGCAGATGTAAGGCAGGTAGAATAACCTACAGGTCTCCTGTTCATGGAAGGGCAGCCTGTTACCATCCCCACCTGTGAACATGTGAGTGTTAGTCCCAATTTCAGAGCTAGGCAGCATGTAATACAGCATCTTTGTTGAACGGAAATGTGTGGGAGCAACCCAACTTTGGAAGTCTGGGAAGGCTTGAGGAGTTCATTCGACACGTTCTCTTCATTTGGCAGATGGGGCAATAGAGGCCAAGAAGGATATGACTTACGGTGTGAATCAGAACCATGAGTGAAATCCAGGATCCTACACACGCACACACACACACACACACACCACCTCAGTGCTCTTTTGAGTATTCGCTCCAGGATCCTACACACACACACACACACACACACACACACACACACAACCACCTCAGTGCTCTTTTGAGTATTCGCTCCATCCTTTCTGTGCAGGGGTCCTGTTCTTGGCTCTGTCCATGAGAGCATCTGCTCCCCTCAGGGCAGAAACAGTGCCTCTGGCTCCTGCCAGCTGTGGACAGCTGCACACCCTTCACTAATGGAGTTGACAGTCCACAAACGTTCTTCCCAGATGTTCCCCTTTCCTTGCTCATGGTGAGCGCGTGGGTGCTAATTTGCTACTCTCACCCTGGGTGTAAACTGGCTTCTGCAGCAGCCCAGGTAGCAGCAGTTGAGGGCAGCCTATGCCTGGAGGTGGGAGGCTGTGGGTGTTCACTCTACCCTTCTACCTAGTGATATGGGTGGGGAGAGGTCTAGAATACAGTGGCAAGAAAAGCATGTGACCTGTGACTCGGGGGTTCTGAAACTCTGCAAGGGCTGGGCTCTAAGAGATGTGAGAAGGGTTAAGTGTGGGAGGCTGGATCCAGGTGAGGAATTGATTCTGAGAGTCCCAAAGATCCCAGAATTGCTAAGCCCAGAGAACTACCAAGGGAGGGCCTGGTGGGGGCTACTGTTGGCTGAGAAGTCATGGGGCCCCATACTCAGAGCCCAGGCTTTCTGCTCTGGGTCTCTCTGTGATCATTTAGAAGTTGAATAATCTGTAACAGAGACCCAGAATAACACAAGCTTACTCCTGTCTCATCAAGTAGGTAACAGGTGTCACGATCAAAAAGCAGGACGTGACATTTGCTTTCTGTTCAGTAACCCCAAGTACTTTCTATTTTGTTCTTAGTGCCACATCCTCATCGTAGCCGGGAAGAAGGGGGTTGGAAGAAGATGAAAGAGCAAAGGAAGGCCCCGACTAGTTTCTCTGTCTATCAGCTGTCTTCTACCATCTAGCTCATCTACTATATGTCATCTAACTACTTACCTAAGAAGTAGCTTTTTAAATAGTTTATTATTTTTATTTTATGTGTATGAGTGTATCTTCTACATGTGTGTAAGTGCACCCGTATCATGCAGTGCCTGTGGAGGTCTGAAGAAGGTATCAGATCTCCTGGAACTGGATTTAGAGCCACCATGTGGGTGCTGGGAATCGAACCCAGGTCCTCCGTAAGAGCAGCAGTGCTCTTGATTGCTGAGCCATCTCTCTAGCCTCCCTAAGAAGTAACTTTTATTGATGAATTATCTCCAGAAACCAAAAAGGCTCTGTTTCAGTTGTACCTTAAACCTGCACAATCTGGTCCCCCACTCTTCCTTCCCAGAATGTGTCTTATAGCCACCTGTAGCTACAAAAGTAGCTCGAAACAGGCCATTATGCTTGACAGTTGTGCCAAAAATCAGGGGCTCTGTCACTATAGGAAAAAAAAATCCTGAATACTGTGAGTTCAGATTGTAGCCCTCTGTGCTTTCTGAATGCCTTAGGGTACCTGAACCTCCCACCCTTTCCCCAGGAACTAAGTGTAGGTCTTGAAGTTGCTGCTGCTTGCTCTCCCCAGCCCAAGCCCAGCTGTTGCCCAGTTCTTCACAGGGCTCCTTTTGTCTTCCAGCTTACGTCCTGCCAGTGAAGATGGAGATGGAGATGGTCATCCAGCAGTATGAGAAGGCTAAGGTCATCCAAGATGAACAGCTGGAGAGACTGACACAAATCTGTCAGGAGCAAGGGGTAACACACCACTTTCAGTTCCATCCAGCTCTGTCCAGGCTTTGCCAAGGACCCTGTAATATCAAGATGCCAGAGATTAGGGGCCACCTCAAAGGTGGAGCAGAGGTCAGTGAGCCCCTGATGGCAGGCCTGACTCAGCTCCAGGTTGAGCCCCAGCCCCAGCCCACTGCAGAGCTCAGTAAATATGTGTTTCGCACTTCCTTTGGCTCCTCAACCACAAACTCCCACAGCTGATGGATGTGGGAAGTCTGTCACCCCAAAGTAATCCTAGGAAATGTTCCCACAGGACTGTGCACACAGCATCTTCAAAATCATCCCTTTGGAATGTCTGTCCATGAACCAGTTCTTTTTATGTACTTTGGGAACAAAGGCTTTCATTTCTACAGAGTACTTATGAGGGACAAGAGGGCCATCAGGGACCCAGCCCTCAGCACCTTGTCCAGGAGCTCTGGGATCAGAGCAGTTGTCATGGAGTTCTGCACTGGGAAGGCAGCAGTCCAGCCCCTAAACATCACCAACTCCATTTGTTCTCTAACCACTACCCATTAGCCTGGGCCATCAGGGGCCTGCTTTGTGCTGGACTTATGCTAGGCACCTGAAACACCATTCTAGACAAGATATGGCCTTGTCTTCGTGGGGGCTTTCAGTGCCTCTGTTTGGTGCCCCGTGTACATGCAGAGACAGTCTGGTGCCATGCATGCCTCACAAGACCATGTCTGGGGCTCTGCAGTCTGTGGTTGAGGGGGTTTTCAGAAGACCTGACCCTGAACATAACACTTGGGAAGAGAGTAAGCAGAGAACCCAGTGCACAGCAGGGGTGGGGTGGTCGCTGGGCTGGGCTGGACTGTGGAAGCCATGCCCTGTGTGGGCAAGGTCAGGCAGCAGTAGGGTGGGGTTGGTCTTGGAAGCATTCTGGGCTAAACAAGGCATCTGAGCCTCATCTAGGGAAAGAGGAAGCAACTCTGATGGGAGTGTTAATCTTCCATGAATCTGCCTGGCTGCTGCTGGAGGATGGGTAGGAGAAGGCAAGACAGGGACAGAAAGCCAGGATCATAGCAACCACATGGCCGAGAGCAGGCCTGGGTTTGGGCAGAACGTCTGGGAAGCAGGGAGAGGGCAGCTGTAGGTGTCACTCAGAGACCAGCTAGAAGTGGATCATGGAACACTCAGCCTCCTGTATAACAAGAAAACATTCTGCTACTGTTGGTGATCTGAAAGTTTGAACACAGGGCTACATCTGCCCTGTTTAGATGTATAGCTGCCCAGCAGAGAACAGGACCCTGCCACATACTACCGTCAGCCCCACATGTACCTCACAGACAAGAGAAAACCCTAATGGCAAACTCACTGCAAGTCCCCCGCCCTGAGCACTGGGGACCCCTGGCCCCTGCCATGCAGATTCAAGTCACTCCCTACATGTGGGCTCCTTCTTGGGGATCTTGTGGGAGGGAACTCCCTAAGATTCTACACAGGAAAGACCAATGAATAAAGACAGATTTCTTCTGGGTAGTGACATCTGGAAAAGAGATGAACAGAAATGAACTATTTTAATTTAAAAAGCACCTGAAACTTGTCATCTCAGTTAAGACAGCTGAGATCCCAGTGGGCTTCAGGGGCTGTGAGGGGAAGGTAGCCTGGGGGAGCAGCACTCAGTATCTGCAGGGAAAGCAGGAAGCAGGCCTCTGCTCCCCAAAACTAGAGCTTACTCCCCAGAGGCCAGAGATACCGCCTTATCAGCAGTATGAGTCAAGGCTTGAGAGTTGACTAGACAACAGATCCCTTCAAGAAATGAAAGTCAGCCCAGCATACGGGAGGGTCAAGAAGGGGCATTAGATCAGACTTGGTTCCAAGTCAACACTGTCACCTTCTGGTTTTGTGGCCTTGGGCATTGATGGAAACTCTGTATGCCTTAGTTTTGATAATCTGAAAAATGGGGATATTAATAAAATTCTCAAAGAATGGTTATAAGATGTACATACCAACTAATGGGACTTGGCCAAACAACCTGCCCGCCGTGCCCATACACACCTGTTTTACAAATGAGAAATCTGAGGATTAGTGATGGCCCAGGAGCACACCTCTGAGAGGCAGGGGCAGATCTAGGTGTCCCACCTGTAATGCGATTCTCCCCTAGCCCGCTTTGCTGGGGGTTATTCTTTACCACATTTTCTGCTTAAGCTCAGTGAAAATATTGCTTGAAACCAATGGTGCTTCTTTATAATTCCAGCACTCAGAGGCCAGGACAGAAGGATTGTGAGCTGGAGATCAGCTGGGACTATATAGTGAGTTCTAAGCCAGCCTGTGCTACACAGTGAGACCCTATCTCAAAGCAAGCAAACAAAAACAACAACAACAACAACAAAAAAAAACCAACAAAGCATTGCTCATTGCAAAAGAAGGGGCAGAAAGACTATAGGAGGCAGAGGTGGTAGATGAATACAAGGAAACTATGTTGTCTGGACACCACAAGGCAGTTGTACATTTGAACCCACAGTGCTTTTGACAGCATGCACACCAAAGCCAGGCAGGAGCCCAGCAAGGATCGGGGAGGTGGGTGGGAAGCCCCAGCCCTAGCTGAGAATCTATTGGCAACTGATGGATACTGGGAGAGGGAGAATACCTTTTCCTTAATGGTGTGACACCTGGTAGATTAACTAGATTCCAGGGAATGGACCCATTCCCTGGAGCACTTGAGAGGCACAGACTGGAATCGATAGGTCTCTAAAAGACAAAAATTAAATAAATAGGGGCTGGGCATGGTGGCGCATGCCTTTAATCTCAGCACTTGGGAAGCAGGGGCAGGGAGATTTTGTGAGTTTGAGGCCAGCCTGGTCTACATAGTGAGTTCCAGGACATCTGGGGCTACAAGGAGACCCTGTCTCAAAAAGACAAAAAAAAATTTTTAATGAATAGGAAGATAGATAATGATAGAGGACATGAAATTGGGAGGAGGTGGTGGGGAGGGGCTGGAGTCAGAGGGGCATCTGAATGTGATCAGTATACAGTGTATGAAATTCTGGAATTTATATATATATATACACATATATATAACTGTTTAAATCAAGCATGGGTCAGCCTGACCCACACTGGCTGGCTGAAGAGCAGCCCCCTTGCAGGGGTCAGCCCAGACCACTCAGTAATCTAGACTATGTTTCTCAATCCTCCAACCTGCTGCCCACCCAGCCCCAGCGCACCCCCTCCCCACTCCACCATTCCAGTGTTTGCCACAACTCATGTTCTCTCTCACTGCTGGAGTTCTTAGAAAATATGTAATAGAGCAGCTTCCAACCTGAATTCACCTATGCCACACACAGAGAGAAACTGATATGTCAATGTGAAATGTGTAGGGTCCTGGTTTATTTTACTTACACTTACTCATTTGTATATTCTGGAGATGGGTCTAGTGTGTAACTCAGGCTGAACTCAAGATCCTCCTGCTTCACCTCCCTACCACTCTGGGCAAACAGTCACAGTTTCTATAAGGGGCCTATTTTACTCTCTCTTTAGAATGTATTTGTAGAAATATTTGCCTTCATTCATCTTGGTTCTTCTTTTAAAATAAACTATATTTTAGAACAATTTTAGACTTATAGAAAAATTATGCCAACAGTCGAGTTCATGCAGACATTGTACAGGGTCGCCCAATACTGACTTCTTACATTTGTATTGTCATTAGTTACAATGAACTAACCAATGTTGATACTATTCAAATTCCTTTTATTTAAATTTTTGAGAATTTCATACATGAGTACTATAGTTACATTATTTCCACCCCTTCTTCCCCCATCTCCTCCCACATTTCCCCCACTCCCTCTCAATATCCTGACCTCTTCTTTAATTATTGTTTTATACAAATATATATATACACTTGTGTATATGTATAATTATGTACATATAATATATATAATTATATGTGTATTATAATATATATACACACACAATCAACTGAATCTATTTAGTGGTGCTAGTATGTACCTGTGTGTAGGGCTAAAAACGGGATTGGTAGTTTGTCCCTGGAGAAAACTGGCCACTCATTGCCTGTGGCTCTTCATCTAGAGATGTAACTTGTAAAATTTTCTCCCATCCACATTGGCATGTCAACTGGTGTTGTCAATATGCAAGTTCTGTTTAGGCAACAGTATTGTAGCTCCCTTGTCATGCCTGGAAGACATTATCTAGCAGCAGGTGTCCAGGTCCTCTGGCTCTTACAATCTTTCTGCCCCATCTTCTACAATATTCCCTGTGCCTTAGGTGCAGGGATTTGCATTTTGAACATATCAGTTGGAACTGGGCACCCCCACAGCCACTTATTCTCTATATTCTATCAGTGGTGACTCTCTGATTTTCTCCATCTGTTACAAAAGGAAGCTTTGCATTGCACAACACAGGTGCACTCCCATACATGCAGGCAATACACTCATACACATAAAATAAAAATAATAAATAAAATATTTTGACAAAAGGAAGCTTCTTTGGTGAGAGGTGAGAGATATACTTAGCTGTGGGTTTAAGAATAACTTTAGAATACAGTTAGAACGTGTATTGGTTTAGGAAAATGGCAGTAGTAGGTTCTCCTCTAGGCTCTGTGACCTCCCAGCCACAGTTATTTGGCTAGCTTTATAGTACCAGACAAAAATTCTATCCTACTGAGCAGGTCTTACTTTCCATTAGACAGTTGTTGGCTACCCCTAAAAGTACCACTATTGTACCATTAGGGATATCTTGCCAGGCTAGTCATTGTTGTGGTTCATAGGCTTGGCAACTTGATTGCTTTTCTCCATTGACAGCTCACATAGCACCTTCCAATACTATGAGAGCTGGTCTGCAAGGAGGAAGGTTCTAGGTCAGTTCCCCCTCGATTTCTCCAAGTCCTGTGTCCAAAGTGTGTGGTGTCTTCAACAACAGGGTCTTATCTTCAAGTTTTGGGAGGCAATCAAGAGCAATGGCAATAACCTATATTATTTGGGGCATCTTTCACTGTCCTGATCAACAACTTGAAG